GCTGCCTCGGCGGGGACGATGGCCTCCGGGGCGATGCAGACGCCGCGGTCGTAGACGGGCAGCTCGCCGCAGGCCAGGCTCTCGGGCCAGGCGTGGCCGTACTTGAGGAGGACGGGCTCGCAGCCGGTGCGCGCCCGCTGGCAGACGGCCCGGCACGGCTTGATGGGCTCCGGCTGGAAGTCGGGCGTGCAGATGGGCGCGTACATGGCGCACAGGAAGAAGAGCAGGTCGGCGCTGCAGCGGGTGCCCAGCAAGCCCTCGAACTGCTCCATGGCCAGGATGGCGTTGGCCTGCGTGCTGTGGTGCAGGTGGTTGGGCATCCGCGTCATGTTCCAGGGCAGCGCCTGGCACAGCGGCAGCCGCACCGCCTCGCACGCCGCCCCGCGCGCCTGCTTTCTTTACAGGGGTAACCCCTACAGGCAGCAGGGATAAAGCCTCAGTTGATGTGATTGTATTCAAGGGGCTAAATCATCATTTGGTGCAAGAAAACTGCGGCGGCGCCCGGCACCCCGCGCCTACTTTCCCTAGCCAGGGCGGGCAGCGGCGGCGGTCCGGGGCCGGCCTTTCCTCTGCCTACTCTCTCGCGACCTCCTCGGGGGAGGCAAGCGGGCCGGATCCTGCCAAAGAGTCTCCGGGATGAGGAGGAAAAACGGAGAAAGTTTTCTCCCCCTCCCTCCCCAGTTCTTCCTCCCCTTCTGGACTGATGGGATCCCACCGGGGCGACGGAGACAGAAAAGGGGCGGCTCGCCCGGGAAGGCGACCGATGATCGATGGATCACCGGGGAAGGGACTGGGCGCCGGCGGAGAGACGACTTTCGCTCTGGCGCGGGGTGGGGGAGAGACGGCGAGCAAGGAGGGAGAAGCCCCCGAAGGCAAGCGGGAAGCGACGCCACCGGCTCGGCTGGTGCGCCCGCGGCCCCGGGCAGCGCCTCAGCCCCTGTCCCCCAACCTCGCCGGCTGAAGAGCCCCCGCCGCGGCTCCGCCTCCACCTCCTCCGCCTCGC